CGTCCGAGCTTCTCCTTCCAAGCTCTCCTTCCACATCGAGCGACTATACGTATACGAGAGTGCCGCACCAAAGCCATGTAAACGATCACGTCGCTTGCTTCTCCTGCAAGGTTGTGACGCGGCGTGGCGCGGCAAGGCTGTTGGTCCAACCCATAACCCTAGCCCTCACCAAGGCGAGCGGCCGATTTTTTCTTTTGCCCAATCACAGCGCACGGTTCTAAAAAATCGAATGCCAAAGTTCGAAGATCGCAAATCGGGCAACCTGACGCTGGGCATTCTTGCATTCACCTCGTCGATCCCGCACGCCTTCCATGCCGCTCACGATCTCGGTAATCATTGGCTCGGTCCGCCCTGGTCGTCAGGGCCTCCGCGCCGCCAAGCACGTCGAGGCGCAGCTCCTTGCGCAAGGCATCAACGTTCACCTCATTGACCCGGTCGTGCTGCAGATCCCGCTCTTTGGCAACCGCTACGACTACCTGCCGGTCGACCAAAAGACGCCGGCGCTCACCGAAGTTTACGAAAAGTTTACCGAGAGCGACGCGTTTGTCGTCGTGACGCCCGAGTACAACCATGCGTACTCGCCCGTCATCTCGTCGCTCCTCAACTACTTTTACCACAACGAGTTTTACTACAAGGTCGCCGGCATTGTCTCGTACAGCATGGGCCCGTTTGGCGGCGTCCGCGCCGCGATCCAGCTCCGCGCGTACCTTGGCGAGCTCGGGTTGGTGTCGATTCCCAAGCTCCTCCCGTACCCGATCATCCAAGCGCTACTCAACGAAGACGGCACCGTCCAGGACGGCGCGGCCGGCGCCGACTCGCTCGCTGACAGCTCGGCCAAGTTTGTCAACGAGCTCGTGTGGTACGCCAAGAACCTCAAGGCCGCCCGCGCCGCCGGCACGCCCTAAAGTCCTCCACCATTGCGACTGTTTCTGGACCTCAGGATACATGACAATCCCATGTCGTCTCTTGGTCAATAGCGTTGTGTGTTGCAAGTGCGTGAGAAGCGAGCCGCAACGCTCGACTGGCGACGTGTCATCGACGAAGACGTCGTCGTGCGGGTCGAGCTAAGATCTGATGGGCGTTGCATCTGGTTGGCCGCGAAACCAGTTTGCATTAGCAATCGCGTGTAGCAGATCTGGTGATAGGACGTTGCTTTTCAGACTGCAGAACAGCCAAGATGTGCTTGGTGCGCTCGGACCTCACCTCGTGTCTCTAGGACTCAAGTTTGCCAGCGCGTTGTGGTCAGATGACTCAAAACTCATTGCACTACGAACCAGACACCATTCTGGTCTGACATTGCACTTTTCAATGCGTGTCTGGATCGTGCATGGAGGCGCGGCTTGCGATTACTGCGAGCGACCGGTCGATAGATGCTGCAGGCACCAACAAAGGAGCACGCCTCGTCGACACGTGGAGCCAACTCGTTGAAGTATGTGGCACCAGCGACCAACGCGGCTCGGGTCCATGCAGTCGCCGTCGCCACCTACCACTTCCTCGCAGCTGCATGGAGTCGCCACGCGTCCATCAAGCGACGACGTGATCGTAGATCTGAGTCCTTTCTTATTGCTGGTCGGTTTGCCGGCGATGCACGACAAGGTGTACTCGTGGTCAAGTACGTTGTTGGTTGTGTATTTATGTGTTACCATTGACCAAATTCAAAGACACAAACAACACGAGTTTCATATAACAAATAAAAATCACATGCGTCTTCATCCGTGGAGGATGCAACGGGCAGATATTGTATGATCCAGAAATCTTAGGCACATGCAGGTGTGTGTACTCCGCGCAGACGAGGCCGCGCTGGCTTCAATGGGCGCGCACGACGATGGCTCTAGACTTCGCCCGAGAGGCGGAGGTGCGCAGAGCAGAGGCCCTTTCGCCGGCACGGCTTGAGGCAGCCGTCAAAGCCGCAGCGCTTGCCGCCGCCGTGGGTCGCACAGAAGCCACCGCCACGGTCGTTGCGCATGCAGCCGCTGACGCCGCAGAGGCGCGAGCCGCCGTGGAGCGCACAGAAGTCGCCGCGTTGGGTGCCCTTGTCGCAGCCCTCAAAGAGGCAGCGCTTGCCACCGCCGTGCGAGCGGCAAAAGCCACCGCCCTGCGAGCTGCGGTTGCAGCCCGAGAAGAGGCAGCGCGGACCACCGCCGTGGGCCTTGCAGAGCATGTTGGACTGGGCGGCCTTGTCGCAGCCTTGGACTTCGCAGCGCTTGCCACCACCGTGCTTGATGCAGAGGTTGCCGCCCTGGCTCGACTTGTCGCAGCCTTCGACCGCGCAGCGGCGACCGCCGCCATGGGCGATGCAGAGGCCGTGCGAGCGCGACCGCTTTTCGCAGCCGTCCATCTTGCAGAGGCGGCGGCTCTTGGACGACGGGTGCGAGTCGTGCAAGTCGTTGAGGAGGTCAAGCGGCGCCTGCTGGTGCATGTACTCGGACGGCGGCTTGAGTTCGATCTCGGAGAGGTCGCACTCTTCCTCGGACGTCATGTCGAGGAGCGTATCGAGCGGCGACGAGTCGAGGAGGTTGAGCGTCATGACGCCGTCGTCCGTGCCATCGAGCGAGTTGGCGCGGAGCTTCTCGGGCATCTCGTCGGCCTTGTCCATCAAGAACGAGTACAGAATGGACATTTCGCTGTTGTCAAAGTCTTCTTCGACGTTGAAGTCGACGTCGTCCTTGTCGTCGTCCAGGATCGCGCAGTCGAGGAGGTCATCAAAGCTGCCGACGTCTACATCTTCCATCGACGCAGGCGCGAGCGACTCCATGAGCGGCTCGGGCTTGGTCGAGAGCTCGTACTTGGGCGCATGGTTGTTCATCATCATGAACGGCGGGACCATGTCATGATGGTGCATCATGGGCTTGGCCATCGCCGACGTCTGGTACATGTTGCCTTGGTTGGCGTACCCCTGCTGGAGGCGGCTAAAGCTGCCAACGAGGGGCACCGTGGCTTCCATCGGGCGACACATCACAGTCGGGTTCTTGGTGTTAAGGAGCGGTCACTGCGGAGCTCAAAATAGTCAAATGCTGCCAAAGTCCGCCGGCCACCGCCCCAGCCGCTGTATACATTGGTCAAGACAGGGGTTTCGAGCCAGATTCTGTTTGCATTTTTATTCAAGTGCGCGCTCGAATCCTCCCATGCACTTGCGTTTTGTATGTAATACCGCTTTCGATGAATAAAAATACTCCCGAGGCAGCTGGCCCGGCTTCTCGTCGACCCGATTTAAATTATTTTTCAGCTCGCTTACTCTGGCCGTGTGTTTATAGCGTAATTTATTCGAGTGTTTTATGCGAGCGGCCACGTGCAGAGAAATGCACCAAGCACAAAGATGCGTCAACGGCCGCTGTCACTGGTGGCGACGTGGGTGCTGCGGTCGTCGAGCCGACGACGCCATTTGAAAGGCTACGGAGTTGGCAGCGCAGGCCAAAAAGCACCCGGACATAGGCAGGGAACCTACGGCAGAGCGAGCCTGAAGGCTTGGGTCCAGCGCGAGCAACGTGCGCTCGACGATGGGCGAGACAGGTGCCATCTGCCATGCTGTAATCGTTACGAGGCCAGTCCAATCAGAGCTTGGGTGCAAGTGTCCTCGCCTGTGATTGGTTGCACGAGATTTGTAGCAAGAATGGGGTTTCCGTCATCCGCGCGACGGGCGTGGGCGCATTTTTACGTGACGCTGGCGCGTCATGAAACCTCCACCAATCAGAATCGCCTCGCGTCACGCGAAGGTTCCTCGAACGCGACCGCGACAGTGGACAGCCGTCCATTTGCATCAACACGACAAGCCGTGGACGTCGGACACACTTGAAGTTGTAGTATACAGGTCCGACGCGGCGGTTGTAGCGAGCCGCCACTGATATTAATGGTGGGGAAGGGGCGCTCGTCGACCATTTACGGGTCACGGGTCGAGGTCGGCAGTCGTTTGTGATGTTCTATGCGATATTGACAAACTCGCATTTCGCACGTCCCCACGGCAACCAATGGTGAATTGGATGCGCAAAGAACCTTGTCGAAGCTACGTCTTCTCGCATGATTCGCACTCGGTAGCAATCAGTTTGTTTTCAACAAAAGGTTATCAAGCGCCTCGCTACTACAGACCTATCAACCTGACGTCGGCGACGGTAATCGCGCGGTCGAAGGCGACCAACGCATCACGCGCGAGGTGTCGCCGCATCCCGTGATGGGTCGGTGTCGTGGAAAAGAGGCGAGAGTAACGTGGCTTGATGCTTGGTACGAGCGTGGTTCGGGGCAGAAACAGGTTGACTCGACGTCGAGTACTGGCAGCACGACACGTCAAGGCCGTCGTCGTCGTAGTCGATGACAGGTACAAATGGCCTTGATGATGCATGGACGAGACCATGGACACCTCTCGTGGGCCCTTCTGGGCTGCACCGTGGGCCAAGCGAGCCAAAATCAGCGTTGAATTCTTGTTACTATTGGGTATATTTCACTTTGTAGACCAGACCGCCATGATGTCGTGATGCTCGGGTTCGTTTGCAGTAGCTTGGACGATCGCGTAGTAAAGGCGTGGGTTCGCATCTCATAATGTCTCTTTGGTTCGATTGCAGCAAAAGTACCCGCGCACGACGGCGACGGCGCGGTAGTAAAGGCGCGGGCAGCTCGCTGTCGTTCGGTCGCTCGATCTTGCCATCATCATTTTTGCATATTCGAATACAGTGCACGCGTTTCATCCTGCATCCCAGGTCGCGTCTCGTAGATTCCTATACCTTGGGTGGTTTCCAAGCCACGCCAGTTGCCGCCGCACGTCCACGGTGGGTGCAAGACCAAGCATTCCCAAGTGGCCGATCCACAACGGCCGCCAATTTTTGGCGAGTCGAACCTGTGACGAGCTCGTGCGCACGCTGCGCTTGCCACGTCCGGTTCTTCGACAGTGCTTGCCATCGTTCGTGTTGGGCGAGATACCGTACACGTGCACGCCCCCGAGCGTCAAAGACTCAAAGTGAAGTCGCGTTGAAGCCAGCATCGTTGAACATGTCCTCAAGATAGTGCGCGTTTCCCGGACCATCTTATAGTACTCGGCGCTAAGAACGCCTTTTAGGGATGGATGGTTTTAGGGATGGATGGGTTGGTGCTAGTGTAGTAGCACGGGCGTCGAATGGGGAAAGGGCATCGAGTAGCCGCGGAGCATGATTTTACATCCGTCAACGTTGCGCGGCAACCCATGCATGTGGGCGTCGAGAGGCCCGGAAGAGGCGATCTGATCCTACGCGATCTCAGGGAGACCACCTCCGTGGAAGTCCCAGTGCGATGTACCTTCAGAATATCCCCACTTATTCCACCAAAAACTGACCTCGAGAACCCGCAGGAGCGTAGAATGTCCGAATTGTATCGGGATGGGTCACCATCAGCAGCTCACTGAGCTAGCTCACTCCCAACGATGGAGGGTAGGCGCCAACTCCCACGTACGTAAGCGCAGTGCTAGAAGAACTCGAAAGGCCGTCTTTGAGCTCGTATTTTCTCGTTGGTTGTCAACGCAGCCGCCGCCATGAGCAATTGCCTTCGAGACGCGCCACGGGAACATCTTTTCGGCTCTTGACCTAGTACCTCGTGTACTTACATGCCCCCGTCCAGAGTGTGGCAATGTGCAAAAATGGAAGGAAAGCTCGACGGCGCTGTGATCAATGCAGAGGAACGCTTGCAAAGAAAGTAGGGACCGCCAGACCTGCAGTAGCAACCCAGAAATGGGTAGTTCGACGGAAACAAGGAAATCGAACATATATTCTCTTGGACGGGAATCGTCGCTAGTGGCTAGTAGCAGGAGAATGCAATGGTAAACTACAAAGACTCAACGCACGATACGAAAACGCCGACGATCGAGTGTCCTCGATGCCATGAACTGCGTCGCTCGAGAATGAAAAGCCTGACAGACGCACGAGACAAGGGGCGGTCTATTTCCAAGAAGGGCAAGCGCAAGGCCGAATGAGCCAGAAGACCAAATCGCGAAGCACATGAGATGCAAGCTCCAGGCGCAGAGCAAGCGGGCTCGTGCCATTTTTGAATGGTGAGTAGTGTCAGTAAACACAAAACCGTCTCGCGAACCACTGGCATGGCGGACAAAATCACGGATGTTGCCCAAGTAGTTACGCCGACTTGATGGAGCTAGTGAGCGCTCTCAAAATGGCCAGAGCACAAGCATCTCGAACGACTGTTGTAGGGCCAGGAAGCCATCTACAACCACCTCGTGACGCTGCAAGCCGTACCGGTCCGCTTCTGTGAAGGCTTGCTGGGCCATGATGTCTGCTGCTGCCTTCGTTGCAATGCGGCACGTGCAATGACCTCTTCCGTCTCCCATTGACCCTCGCTAGCTTCTCTATGACGCTGTTGCTACGCCGTTCTCGGCTCAAAATCCCTAGTCGCGACCTTCTGGTACCGGTAGTCTCTCGAGCAAGTACGGTGCTCAAGCCACCCAAAGCGCTTGGCCTCGGACTCGTCCCAGAGCGACGCTGCGTTCACGTGGTCGACCAAGTGGATCTGCGAACACTCCGCGAGGAGGCTTCACGCCTTTTGTATGTCGCTCGAGCGCAGCGCCGACCTGTCGATCGAGTGCACCACGATGGAGCTGCTCGGTGCCGAGGTACCGTAGCATCGCGAGGTCTGAGGCTCTCGAGGATGTACTGAATGCCGCTCACGGCGTGCTTGTCGTCCCGGCCCATCGCGCTGCTTCAGTCACCAAGACCTCGCCCGCGTGCGGCGCCATCGTGTTGACCGTAACAACCGAAACGTTTGCTCAACACCGACGCAATTCCAGCCGCTTCACTTGCGGTCAAGAGCGCTATAGTACTCGTCCCCATGTACACCTCCGACGCTTGGTCCGTCGAGATGCGGTGTCATCGCTCGACGCTCAACACCTGCCGCGACGATGCATGCTATGCGCTACCTACAGTAATTCACAACCGGTCTGTGGTTGCTTGCACGATTGCACAACAAGGCCGCAAGACAACGTTGCCTCATAATAAGATTGCTATCGTGGATATATAAAATTACATGTGCTATACGTGGAAATAATTCGTTTCAAGAGCACCTATGGTTAATTCACGACGCACAACGGAGCCCTGCGCGAATGGCCATTATATATTTATGAACGTGTTCCGCGTTATCTTCGTTATTACAAAGGCCACCGTCTAGGTACTCTCGCTCTACGTGGCGCCCAGCGAAGCCCATATGCCCATAGAAGACGAGCTTGTGCTCCCTGGACCCACTATAGCAATGCCTCGACACAAGCCCTGGACACCGCACGAAGTCGCTATTCTCACGCGAGCGTGGGTGTTGGCGCGCACCGGCTCCGTTGAAGGCGTCGACAAGAGGGCGGCGTACGGTTCGGTTTTAAGACGACGACAACACCTCGTGCACGAGCTCGTCGACGTCGTCGTCGTCGAGCAAGAACTCGCGCCAGTTTCGGTGCATGGACGCTAACACCAAAGTTATTTGCATACGCAAGAGAGCTTCCATAAAGGCGCGAAGGCGGTTAGTTCGAATTTCGGCATATGAGCCTTTGAATGGGATGGACGGGTGGAGATAGCACTCCTACTCCAATTTCACGATAGGATCCACCAATCACAGCCTTCCGCACAATAGGAAATAGGAGTCGAATGCTCTAACAGTGTTGGTTGGTATACATACGTGTTTTATAAAGGTCTACAATCGTTTAATGGACCCTTGATCACTCGACCCTTGAAGAGATGAATCGTCCTCATTGCCGTTTGCTTTGACGAGTCATCGCCAACGACAACATGACGCGCCGCGTCAACTGTGGCGCATGACAAACACATGGCCACGTGACAACGAACGGTTGACGGCACCTCCCGGTACCATCGACCGTTCTTGCACCGACATCTCTCTAAAAACTGCAAGCTACACAACACTCTTGGATCCTAAAATGCGATATCGCACGCAGCATCACACATCGATCGGTGTTGACATCATACTACCGGCATCCAGGCACCCCCCAACGCCCACCCACGTTCCCTCCCTTCTCAGCACAGCAAAACCGGTCGATTGATTACACAACAACGTACTAGTAGAGCACAACAATACCGTGGTATATGAATATGTGGTCCAGTGCGTTTCTTTTGATTGAGTCTAGGACACTAGCCTATCAGCGAGCGTGAGAACCCAGTGGCATGCCCATACCTCACTCACTGGTCACTACTACATGGAAACGCCTTTACTGATTTGGTTTCTAGATTGCATTGCCGTGCAATTGTACCACATCATTTCTGGTCGCGGCGCCAATTTGATGCCACGATGTAAATCCAAACTTCAACAATGCAACCACTTGGCACTTGCACCAAATGAGATTCGTTCTTTCTTCCAGCACGTCCCTCCTATACCGCCACGCACCCTTAATGCTCTTGCTGCAACACAGAGCTACTACACATTATTGCAGTGTGTGTGCTCTTACCGATGCGACGCGTGATGCAATGCGCGTGCCGATGGCGTGGCCACCCTATCGTCAGTGCAGGACGCCCGGTCACCCCTGTATCTGTTACAATAGCCGAGGACAAATTTCGGGGGTCGTAAGGGATTTTGGACGACCCCGCGGGTCAAAATGGGCCTCAGGTGGGGGGTCGGGGGCCAAAAAAGCCGAACCCGCTGGTTTCGGGCGACCCCCCGGGGTGACTGGCGTCCTGTTGGACTGCGTGTGTTCAATATGTTGGAGGACAGACAGAGTACAATGGAGATATCTAATATTCAAACGGTGTTGAAAACGGCCTTTACTTCGTCGCCGCGGAAGGAGACGTAGTCGTTGTTGCTCTTGAGCACGTGCTGGAAGACATCCCACTCGACCCCACACGTGTGGATATGGTGGACTTAGTGGCGCTGGCCGACGTCTCGATGCGCCACTTGTTGTACGACTTGACGTACACGGAGAGGAGCCGATACTGACCCTTGGCGGTTGCGATGATGACGTTCCTCTTGTGCATGGCCGACGTCGTCGGAGCCTCCACCCGCTTGGGGGCTTTCTTGCACCATCTTCCTGCAAGCGAGTTGAACTTGGCCTCCATGTTTGCCGACCCTATATTGACGTCACAAAATGGCACGGAGCACATCGCTGACCGTTCTCCTTCGCGTGTAAATTACGCAAGCAGTTGGCCGTGGACTCGAAGAGTGCAAGAACCGAAGGCACTTGAAGAGCTACGTCGTCATTGTACCGAAAGCAAGCGTTGTGGGAGAATGGTACCAGAGACGACGCTCATCGAGGGGGACTGGCTGACCTTGGGAAGACAGGTCTCGTTGGCGTCGAAACCGATTTGGACGTCCGGGAGATCGCCAGCTTGAAATGCTGCTGCGGCGCCGAGCAGCTCGTCGATCGGCGTCTCGTTCCCGACCGCGACTTCGGCGATACCTGGATCAACGGAGGCTGCATTGTTGTCTATTTAATTGATTAGCGTGTTCACGTAAGAGATTTGCATACCTTTAGTTCGAATGCGCGGAGTAACGAACTCGCCGAAAGCGCCTCAGAGCGCGCGCCGAGCTGGCCTTTCACGCCGGCGGCCGCCGACGCGTACGCTGCCGCCGCGTCGACCTCGGTCCACGTCGCGTTCGCCGGCAGGTCCTTCCAAATGTCAGAGCGCGGACTCATCCATTGCTCGCCTGGCAGCCGCCTAAGGTTGACGCCACGCACGGGCACGCGGCCGGCTGCGATCGCCTGCGCACCGTGGAATGTCGTCGGCGCAGGCCGCGCTGCCACGTGGCCGACGTTCGCGGCCGCTGTGCGGAAATCCGCGAGCGAGTCGAACTGTCGACAGAAAACTGACGTGTCGGCAGCCTTCATGCCAGGTACCGGTCCTTGAGGATGTCAGCCGTCGTGCTCGAGGCGTGGTTGACGACTCTGAGCAGCGCCGGCTCGAGCTGGTGTATGATCGGGCGGGTGCAGTCGACGCCATCGTCGAGCGGGGAATCGGTTGCACAAGACGTTGCTTGCTGTGATTGGTTGCTTCAAAAATGGACGCATGTGATTGGTCAGCTCGGGGCCCGGCCCCGTAGACCCGCGGGTTTTCTACAAATAGGGATGTATGGGGGGCGGGGGGCGGCCGACCTGGTGGGTCAACCAGTGGGTTCCGGGCGACCCCCCTGGGTGACCGGGCGTCCTGTCAGTGCAGCGCGATCATGGCTTTTCAATTACATCGCCATATGTGTGTGGCGGGAGGATCACCATCTGTTGCCAGTGGCAGCAACGGGCGTTTCCAGCCTGTGCACGACGACGACGAAGGA